CACGAACTCGAGGGAGTCGCCAAGAGCAGTGATGGCGGCAAGGCGGATTTCAAGATTGGCGTCTTCCTTGCGGGCAACCTGTACAACTGCCGTCAAGAGGGCGTTGGAGAGACCAATCAAGGCAGTCCTCAGATGGGGGTCCTGGCTCTCGCAGATGTAACCGATGGTAGTCAGAGACGTGTGGTTGTGGTGATCGTTTCCTTCGCTAACATTCTTGACCAGGATGTTCAGCAAATCCTGCCACTGGTTGCGGGGCAGCTCAATGGCAGCAATAGAAGAGATGACATGAGCAGCAGCCTGAGCGGCCTGCGCGTTGGACGAGGCTAATGTCAGCAGGGTCAGGTTCTTGACCAATGTTATGGTCTCGAGTCAAGGCTCACGCAATCACTTGCGAGATAGGTCTTGGTCCGGTTCCCGTTCCTGACCTCGACTCGAGCCCCGTGATGATCCATCTCGACTACGACGCTCGTAACCGTCTCCATCTGAATCGCCCAGACCAGCGCCGCCCCCACTGCTACCGCCGCCACTGCCCTGCTGTCCAGGACCTTGGAGACTGTCCTCGCTAGAGCCCGCCTCACCGCGCAGCCTCGTCAGCTTGCCCAGTGAGCCGAGCTTCTTGCGCCCACCGCGGGAGTGGCCCCTGTAGTCGTCGTTGACCATATTTTCGGCGCCGCCGGCGACGAAGACGACGTTGCCGAATCGGCGATTCGGCGGCGTGCGCATGAAGGCGAAGGTCTCGAGACCCGTATCCTGCGAAGGCGGCAGGTCGGAGAAGACGATGGAGCGACGTGTTGTGGCATACAGTAGCACATCGAGCCACCCGTTACAAGCGATCATTGAGCCAGAGAAGCAGAAGTATGCGAGGGACGGGGTGGCACCGGCCATGGAGGCAACGCGACCAGCGGCTAGAGGCGTTGTGCAGATGACGTAGATAAAGGGGTACAGGAGAAAGGTCCTTTGCGAGGCGTGGTCGATTAGGGAGCGACGGTGAAGGGGTGCCGCGAGGTTCTGCTTGTTGTGCCCTTGGTGTCCCTCGCGCGAGGCCGCAAGCGTGGCCTTGCGGATGTGGAAGAAGATGAGGATGTAGAAGGCCGAGGTGATGCCTAGCGACAGGAAGATCCAGAGGTAGTGCAGGAAGAGACGGATGTCCTGGTAAGCTGAGTTGATCCAGCACTAGGTAATGCATGTCAGCACAATGTTCAGCCCAACTCTCGGATACAGCTTGCTTACCCATGCACCAGCACGAACGTAGAGGCCGCCCACGGACGCGCCGTTGTTCGTGATGATGACGCCAATGATGGCCGTCAGATAGGTGAAGGCCCAGCCGCCTATGATGGTAGTGTAAAAAGCCCACGTAGCCATCCGGTGGCCTCGTACAACCCCCAAATATGTGTGCATGGCGATGAGGAAGATGAAGACGGAGGATGCCAAATCGCCCGTCGAAACGAACCAGCCTTGCGCCCAACACATTGAAGTTCCCGCACGAATGGCGTCCTTTCGCAGCCACGCAGCGTTGAGCAAGAAGGCAAGGGCCTGCTGGATATCGGCGAAGAGCAGGTTCAAGATCAAGACGAGGAACTGGTTAGGGGGGTCCCTGCGAAGCCGTCCCCATACGGTCGTCACCTCCTCTTGCGGTGCTGGCACCTCCATCTGAGGACAGAGGTGCTCATCGGGAAGTTCATGGTCGAGTACAGGCGTGGCCTTGGGGTTGGTCCCGGAGGCCAGGTCGATCGGTCGGAGCTGCCATCGTACCAGTTTGAAAAGCAGAAAGAATAGAAGGGCGACGCTGCTGATGAAAGAAAGGAAACCGAAGAAAGATACGGCAACGAGCCCGCGGTGAAGGACAGCGGGGAGAGGAGCGAGACTGAGGATGGAGTCGTCACCGCGGACAACGAGGTGTGGTTCGCTCATGACAGTGTGGTCGTTTCGTCGTTGTCGTCGTCGTCGGTTGTCCAAAGTGTCTCTTATGGATGCATCTGAGGTCGTGGTCACGAATCCTCCGCTGCCAGTAAATCTCCAACAGTTAGACAGACCGCTGGATGGATGCACTGCAGTTGGCAGAAAGCCAAGACCAATGTGGAAGAAGTGTGATATATCAATGGAGTCCACGCATAAGGCTTTTCCTTTGCCCCTCCTCGGCGACGCCTCAGCACTGTCCGCAATATTCTCCGAGGCTAAGGCCAAGCCTCTCTGGAATACCAACAATGGCGGCAGCGAGTGAGAAACGACGGAGTCATGTAATAGGCGTTCTTAGCGGCGAAACCGTGAGCTGCCCGGGGTGGTCCAGGAACGACTTTAGTCGACGTGCAGCACCTTTGGCATTAGCGCCTCCCAACGTGGACGCATCAAGCGATCCTGCGAAGGTGAGCAAGGTGGGGGACCACGTTGAATCCCTGCTGCTCGTGGTTCTGGAGCTTCAGAGGGGCATTCCTCATATGCAGAGCGCCGCTGTCGTTGGCTGCTGATGAGGTGGGAGGGCCACTCACGAGTCGGGAGGTTGTTCCGCCGACGGGCCTCTTCCTTGGAGGGCACGAAAGGGGGCAGACCTTGAGGGCGCGAACAAGCAGCAAGGTGCTTGGGTCCGAGTCAGAAGGTACCATGTAAGCCTCGCTAGATTGTACCGCATCCTTCTGGGGCTCTGACGGGTGAGGGCTGAAAAGCGACCGAAAGAGACTTTCTGATCAGCACTACTCCCGGTTGTGGGAGCTGGGGCTGATTTCCATTACATCTATGCCAGTACAACGACCGCCAGCCATAGGGTCAATCACCTGCATAGGTTCGATGATCTGGTCTGGGCAGAAAGTGACAGGTGGGACAGTCGAAAGCCCGGTAGAAGAGAGGCGGCTTCTGGGGGCGTTCTGACGGCGGCAATCGGGCGCCGTCAGAGGCTACGGCAAGCCCAGGCATCTCGTCTGTTCAGCTGGTAAGCGCTAGAGCTGGCGCGTTTGAAGTTGGGAGCGTACCAGATGCCAATCACGGGCAGAAGGCCGACGAACGCACAGGGGGGGAGGCAAGCCAGGCCAGTTTGTTCCGGGCAGATTTTCAGACCCTTTCATACTCAAGCCAACCACCCACCCTCAGTCTGGGCCCTCAGCCGGCCGGCCGTAACGGGAGGGGGAAAAGTCTTTCTGGATCGTGTTTGTGCGTTCGACGGGTTCGACGAGGCGTTCGCTGGCGCTCATTGGCGTCGGCGCCATGCACGTGGATGGGAAATGAGCACCCAGCGACCGATTCAAAGCGGCCTTTGGCGCCGGGTGTTCCTTTTTCTTGTGGAATGGCTTGTTCGGACAATGGTCATGGTGGCTTGCGCTGTTGATGCTTCTCGAGTCGCGAATTGCCCTCGATCGCCACCCACGCCAGATGGAGTCGCCAGATGCGTTGAAGTTTCGATTTGTATGACATCTTTCATTGCTGGAAATGATGCAGAGCCGAAATGAGGCGGCACCCCTGGTGGATGATTGAGTTCGACCGAGTCATGCCGCTGCTGATGTGGCCCGTGATTCCTGCGAAGCACTTACCTCAAAGAGTGGACAATCTCGTGACATCCGAGGCTCATGAATAGCAATCCGGATGACTGCAGTGCAATATCCGGTCGGCCGGTTGAGCTGAGTGTACGATACAGCACGTGAGTGTCTCGATGTTACCTGCTGATATGCCATGCTCTACGTGAGACCATGGTGGTAATTGATTTTCGGTGCCATGAGTCGAGCAGGCCGGCTTCCGACGAGAAATCTTGAGCATGGTCAAGTCGAAAGGCTTCGCTTGATTGATTTGTTACGATGCCTTCAAGTGCCAACGACAAATAACAGCATCATGGGAGACTTGGGTTGGCAGCGGTCCAGTGAAACCTCATCAGGGCGAAGAGGAAATCCTATCATGGCTGGCGGGGGACGTCGCTTCAAGGACAGGTAGATTGACTTTCGAGCCTTTTTCCCATGCCAAGAGATCACGACACAATAGTGCCTAATCGGGCAACTGATGAAGCCGACGACTGGCTGGTGATGCTCGTTCTGAGGTTTTGGTGACTTGAAAAGCAACAGCCACGACTGCCTAAAATTCTGCCTGTCTGGTCTATCGATGGATTACCTAAGTCGTCGGTCCAGCCCCTGAGCTTGCGGTCAGTGGCAGCCACAGGGCTTTGGCGCCCGCACCGCCACTTGGGCAGCCACTGATGAGTTTAAGCTTGAATCACTGGCGGCTTCCACACTCCGCCCACCTCCACCTTCCCGCCCCTCCCAAAGCTGTTCCTCAGTGATGCTACCAGAACAAAGACAGCAATGATGATCATCAGAAGCTCCTAGACCATCCATTCGCCATTATTTTCTGTCAGCCGCCGAATTGCTGGCCACCAGCCCGTCATCGCTCAGCAACCACAGCGCCGTGGCCGTCGTGCGGCCAGTCCCTCTGTACTCCCCCGCACTGGAGCTGGCTTCGGCGACGTCCGACGGGGTTATCGTTACCACAACCTTGCGACCTTCCCGATCAGTTCTGGGCCGGCGGAGCCTTCACCACCAGGACGGAGCGTCTCCAGCGCAACTCAGCAGCACATTGGGTGCCTCCCTGCCGACTTCGCTTGCCACCTCGGTACAAGGCGGCCAGTGACGCCCTGCGCCTTGCCCACAACGAGAAGGACCCAAGCCTCGTCTGGCGGTGTTTGTGAATGGCGGCGTTCTCGAATCTCAAGGGATCCTGACTATCGAACTAACGGCCGCCGGCTATCGCCTGGTTCCTGGACGTGGCGAGGGACAGTCCGACAGCAGAACCCAAGTACGCAGTCTGCAGCGACCAACATGACCAGTGATAGTCTGGCAATCAACGAGCTTCCCCAAGTGACGAGAGGAACCTGAAAGAACTATGGAAACCGAGTGTCTCCTGACAATGGCATTCATTGAGCGGAACAACAGCAAGAGAAAAGAAGATTGGGACCCAACCTCCAACCGCGCTCCGAGCTCCGCAAACTCAAAAAGCATGGCCGCAATCGCCGTCGAGATTGGTCAATGCCTCTCTCTCGCTCCCCCAAGGGCCTGCTTCCCCGCCAAAAAGCCCCAACGGCGCCCGCCCAAGGACGGCAATTGACCCGCTGATAAGCCTCAAGTGAGCCTATGGCGTCTGCACGTGGGGGAGGGGCTCAAGACATCCCGAGCATCCTCTACGACATTCTGGGACCTGGATAACTTGGCCAGGCACCTCGTCGGCGCCCTCCAGCCACTCATCATCCAGAGATTAGAGCTTCCATGTTCATGGTCCCTGGAAAGCTGGCGTCCCAGCAGTTCCAACGCCCGGCTCGCGGCTGCAGCCAAGCACATGTTGCCGTCACTTCCCATGTGGGCAACCGAGTCTTACAAGTCGTACTGATAGTATTTAGTCCAAGTCGGCCCTCCCTTCGACGGCAGATCATGCCGACGCGTTCTGCAGCTCAATCTGTCACCTCGTTGAGTCCTGTCTGCACTCGTTCCGTGGCACCGACAAGTTCTAGTCACCCCCAGCCACTACCACCAAGATGAGACAGAACATCCTGCCGACCCTGGCGTTCGCCGCCGGTGCTGTCGTCGCCTCGCACGAGAAGATCGACATCGACCAGCTCTACAGCTCCCGCATGATGAAGCGTGGTGTTGATGCGGCCGGCAACTTCAACATGTGTATGTGATGTCTCTTCTCAGTTGGGTCATGCGTCTCTCATTGACAACAACGACAGCCTTCTTCCACATCAACGATGTTCACGCGCACCTCGACGAGTTCTCTTCCTCGGGTACCGATTGCACGCGCCCCGAGCGCGGTTGCTTCGGCGGTTACGCCCGTGTCAAGCATGCCATTGATGAGCTCCGTCCCCAGTACGAGAACTCGCTGTTCCTAGATGCCGGCGACGAGTTTCAGGGCACCCTCTTCTACACCTTTTACAAGGGAGAGAAGATTGCCGAGACGGTCAACCAGCTCGGATTTGATGCCATGACCCTCGGCAACCACGAATTCGACGGCGGTGATGATGAGCTCGGCGAGTTCCTGCTGAACTTGACCTTCCCCGTCCTCTCGGCCAACATTGTCAGCACTCACCCCGCTCTCAACAAGACCATTCTGCCGTACAAGATCTACGAGAAGCACGGCGTGGCCGTCATTGGCTGCACGACCCAGACCACGGCCAACATTGCCAACCCTGGACCGGGCACTGAGTTCCTCGACGTCGTCAGCAGCGTTCAGCGTGCCATCGACGAGATCCACGCCACCACCGACATTAAGCGTATTGTGGCCCTCACCCACATCGGCTACACTGACGATCAGGCGCTTGCTGCTGCCACCACTGGTCTGTCCCTGATCATGGGCGGTCACTCACACACGCCCCTCGGCACCGCCACTCCTGCTGGTACGGCTCCCCAGGGTGACTACCCCACCATTGTCAAGAACGCCAACGGTGATGATGTCTTCGTTGTTCAGGCCTGGCGCTGGGGCCAGTACCTCGGGTACATTGACGTCACCTTTGATGAGGAGGGCCATGCTCTCGCCTACCACGGCGGTCCCATCCACCTCACCAACAAGACTGCGGAGGACGCGGCCCTCAAGGCCCAGATCAAGTCGTGGCGCGGTCCTTTCGAGGAGTTCGCTGCCGACAATCGGCTTCACCAACGTGGAGCTCGTCCAGAGCACCTGCCAGACGCAAGAGTGCACTCTTGGCAACGTCATGGCTGACGCCATGTACGAGTACCGCGCTTCTGAGGGTGCCGACTTTGCCCTGGTCAACGCCGGCGGCATTCGCGCCGGTATTGAGGCTGGTGACATTACTCGTGGCAACGTCCTGATCTCCTTCCCCTTTGGCAACGCCATCACTGAGCTCCAGTTCTCTGGTGCTGACGTCCGCCGCATCCTCGAGGGCTGCGTCAGCCGCGTCAGCCAGTTCAACGGCCGCCCCGTCACGTCGGGCTTCCAGGTCTCCGGCAGCATCAAGATCCAGTACAACCCCGCGCTCGCTGTCGGCTCGCGCCTCGTCAGCGTCTTGATCAACGGCGAGGAGATTGATGACGATGCCGAGTACACCATTGTCACGCTCGACTTCCTTGCCGGCGGCGGTGACAACATTTTCGAGCTGACCACCAACTTCATCCCGCTTGACCTGCAGGACGAGGTCCTCACCCGCTACGTCCGCGACAACAACCCCATCAACGCGCAGATTGAGGGCCGCATCGAAGTTGTCGACACGGTGCCTACTGTGCCCACCACTACGGCCGTGCCCACGTCAACGAGGCCGCCCTGCATTCCCCGCCCCAAGACGACGACTCCTCCTTGAGGGGTTGGTGCAGTAGTGTAATATGATGTAGCTCCTAATAATCAATAATTCGTTCAGAATGCACACATGAAACACTTGAAGTGATGGTGACTCTGCGAAATGTCAATGTACGCTGACGTTTTTCGTCTGAAAGTACCGAACGTCAATCGCCCTATCAATCGCCCTATTGTCGCGCGGGCCATTGGGGTTCCTTTGCAAGGCGATGCAGAGCGAAGTAAGTTTTGCCCTCATTTGAGCAGCATCAACTAGAGGCACAGCACTGGCAGCGAGACGACCAAAGTATGGCGCCATAATAAACCAAGCGCGACAAGAATAGCAGCGAGTATGCTGACTTCATTGGAGACATTGTTGTCTCATGCTCATCTCTCCAGCTGCAACCCTGGTCTATGACCCAGCAATCGACTCCAGCGGAACCCCAAAAGAAAATGAATAATTCACGCTTCTGCATCTCCCGACATTCCGTCCTCGCTCCTCATCTAACCCAGGGCGCGACTGTCCTTTCTTCTCTTTCAGCACGGCCCCGTGTTGCAGTCGCCAATGGTAATCACCTGGTCCACCTCGACGCTCTCAACCTCAGGAAACGCAGCCAGCGAGTCGCGCGTGTGCGCCTCCGTCTCGACAACGAGGCCGTTGAAGACGTCGAAGGTGCGGGTAACCTCGACGGGCGCCACGGCCGTGATCTTGGCGACGTAGGCGTCCACGGACGCGCCCTAGGCCTTCCGTCAATACCGTGTTCCCGGGGATCCGGAGACGGGAGTCGCTTACCTTCTTCAGGAAGATGATGTACTTCTCCGCCGAGACGAAGGCTGACGCCACGGCGGCCGCCACGGAGAAAAGGGCTGTGAATCTCATGGTTGGGGAAAGCAAAAGTGGTGAGCACGGCGGGATGGGAGATGGGTGGGTTGCTGTGGTCTTTTTAGCTGGCCCGGCTTGTTCGGTTGGACAGTAATTAGGGTTTCTTATACTTTGGCCCCCCCCGTCGCACCCTTCGATGTGGTGTCTCACGCCCAAAGACTAATTCATTCCAGTGGTGAGATTCAGGGTCTGTGTTCCCTGCTCGGCACGCACCAAGGTTCGACTCGGTCTCTTGGTTCCGTGGCTGGGGAGAACAGGGTTGCGAGATCTGCCGAGACGGCAGTGGGAGACGGGCCGGGTGGGGGAGACGGGGGTGGAGACGGGGTTGATGGCTTGTGGGAGGGTGCCGTTGCCTCGTGACTGTGCAGGTCAAACGTGAACATGTGCGTTTGATGGAGGACTGGCCAAACTGGGGTCTGAATCGTCCGGAGTTGCTGTCATGGATAAGGTGGTTCGAACGGCATGCAAAGTCTCGAGCGCGCAACACATTTCTCCAAACTGTCAACAAATCCTGTCATTTCCAGTACATGCTCAGTACATGCTACGGCAGCCTCAGTCAAAGCGCACCTCCCTGCCCGTCCTGGCGCTCTCGCGAATCGCCTCGAGGATCCTCAGCACATCCCTCGCCTGCGTCGCCGGCACAGGCACGTCCTCCTCCCTACCGCTCGCCAGGGCCGCGGCAAAGCCCTCAAACAGCCGGACGTACGTCTCGGGCTTGTCGGTCAGCAGCGTGCTGCCCTCGACGGCGCCGTCCTCGCGGACAACGACGAGGCGGCCGGCGGCGGCCTCGGGCTCGACGCCGAAGCCGGGATCCGTGGGCGTGGCGCCGTCCTTGAGCTGGGGCTCCTGGACGTCGAGCCCCGGCTTGCGGTAGGAGCCCTTGGTGCCGCGCAGCCAGAAGCGCGGCTGGGCCTCCTCGACGGACAGCACGGCGGCGCGCACGGTGACGACGAGGCCCGAGGCGTACGACAGCACGGCGTGCAGGCTGTCCGGGTCGTCGGCGTCGAGGCGGCCGGCACGCTGGTCGAGCAGGCGGCCGTAGACGGCGGCGGGCGTGCCGAAGAGGGCGTAGGCCTGGTCGACGAGGTGGCTGCCGAGGTCGAAGAGGACGCCGCCGCCGCGGTCCATCAACAGGCTGCCCTTCCAGGTCGTCGGCTTGTCGGGGCGGTAGCGGTCAAAGTGCGTGTCGAGCGCGAGCGCGCGGCCGAGGGTGCCGTCGCGGAGGAGCCGGCGCAGCGTCAGAAAGTCGGAATCCCACCGCCGGTTCTGGTAGACGCAGATGAGGCGGTTGTGCTCGCGCGCGAGGGCGATGAGGGCGTCGGCCTCGGCGGCTGTTGGCACGAAGGGCTTCTCGACGAGGACGTGCTTGCCGGCACGCAGGGCCTGTGAGGCGAGGTCAAAGTGCGTGTCGGGCGGCGTGAGGATGCCGACGACGTCGACGGCCGGGTCGGCGAGAGCGGGCGCGAGGGAGGTGTGGTGGGTGAGAGAGGGGTAGTCGGCTGGCGCGGATGATTCGGCGGTTGGGTTACGCTGAATGATGGTGTGGAGGTTCAGAGTTGGGACGAGGTTGATGAAGGGAATGTGGAAGACCTTGGCCGAGAGGCTTGCAACTGTTAGAGCGGAGGGGGAGGGAGGGATTGAGGAAGGGGGACTCACCCGTAGCCGATGATGGCAACATTGAACTTCTTTTCGGCGGCCATGATTTTTTTCTCGATCTGATGGATGATTCGCGTTGACCTTCAGGACTTGGATGTTCCTGGAATGCCATCAAGAAGAAGGAAGACGATGGTTTATGAGCTCCAGCTCGAGCTGCTCCTGCTCGAGCTGCTCCTACTCGAGCTGCCCCTCCTCCCACTTTCCCACTTGACCCCCACTGGCGGGGTGAGGTGACGAGGAGACGCCAAGGCGGTAGCGACAGGGGGATGCTGAGCTACAGGGCAGAGCTAAGCTGTTAGTCCCCTAACTCTGGCAAATGGTGTCACTGGCCACTGGTCCGAGACCTGCCCCGCGACCTGGCCCGAGACTCCGCGAAGCAGCTTGGGGCGCCCACTCCATCAGCTTCGTTGAATACGTCGTTAAAATCTATCACACCGAGGAGCCTCCGGATCTAGGCCAGGCGCTGATAAATACAATGGACAGACTGTCCTCTTTGGCAGACCACAACCTGGGAGCCCAGAGGAGAACGCTCCGTTGTCAGTTGAGTCACACCGGCGGCTGGCCACGTAGGGAGTGGAATGACGTTCTCCCTGCTTCGTATTCATCATGGCTCTTCTTTTGTCTGGAAGCCAACCAGCGAGCTCCAACGCAGGCAACCTTGACATCTAGAAAACACAAACATCTTCGCTCCTCGTCTAAGCGTTTAGCCTGTTGCGCCCGGCCCTCTACCCATATATACTTCGTCCATCCTTCCGCAACTCAGCAGCACCCTCACGCCCCCGTGAACCGCACCCACTGCAGCACAAAGATGCGACACAGCAGGCTAAACGCCGCGAAGACGACAAAAATCTGCGAAAAGTCCCACCAGTTCTTCGTCCGGATCTCCGACTCAATGTAGTCCTGCTTGTGGCCGACGAGCGGCGGGAAGCGCCCCGTCGACAGGTACTGCTCCATGAGCGCGTCCTTCTCGTACCACCGCGCGCGCAGCCACAGCTCGAACGCGTCGGCCGTCTCGAGCGGGATCTCGGACACCTTGAAGCGGCGCCAGTGGAAGTTGACCGACCTGGGCGGCCGGCCCTGGAAGTAGGTGCTCGAGAGCGTGAAGTAGTCCTGGCCAAACTTGCCGCGCCTGGTCTCTCGTCAGTCCGCCGGTCCAGTCGTCTGTGTGTGTGTGTGTGTGTGTGTGTGTGTGTGTGTGGAAGCGAAAAAAGAAAAAGAAAAAGAAAACACTTACGGGATGCCCTCGTACGCCACGGTGCAGTCATAGACGTAGTCGACCGTGTCGCCGAGCTCCTTGAGGCAGAAGTACATGCCCGTGCTCCGCGGCAGCAGCACGTGCTCGCCATCCCGGAGCCCCGTCTTCTCCGCCCAGGCCGCCGACTTGGTGCGCCCGTTGAGCGCGAGGTTCGTGCCCTCGGGGAAGAGCAGCAGCCACATGGGGCTCAGGAAGCTGGTGCCGTCGGGGGCGCGCTGCGTCGTCTTGAGCTGGCCGAGGCGGTGGGCGAGGCGCGGCCGGTCGGTGGCCATCTTGCGCGACATGAAGATGAAGCCGTAGAACATCATGCCCCAGCCGATAAAGGGGATCCACTTGAGCGACTCCTTGAGGATGATGTAGATGTGGCCGTGCATGCGCGGCGTGTTGGCGTAGCCGATCCACCAGAGGTAGAGCCAGTCGGTGTAGATCTGGTGGTTGGCCACGAGCACGAGGCGCTCGGGAAAGTCAAACTCGACCATGCCGTCGGGCTGCTGGCGCATCTGGTGCGCGACCGAGGCGTCGCCGCTGATGCGGATCTTGGTCGGCCCCCACCACTGCGTCATGGTCGTCGTGAGGAGCGCAAACGACTGCTTCGTCAGGGCCATGTAGGCGTAGTAGAGGTCGCGTCGGATGTAGTACAGAGGCGCGCCGAGGAACTGGGTTGTGCCGATGCTGGGGAGGCGAGGCGTCAGCGGACGGTACGGAGAAGGCAGCATGGGAGAACGGAAGGGGAGAGGGGGAGGAGACGTACGCGACGCAGCAGCACACAAAGTAGGCCGCCCATGTGAAGCCTCTGACGATTTGCATCAATGTCCCGTGCTTGGCCCTTCCTGCCGGATGCGCAAGTTCTGGTGTCTTGCCACCTGCGCCCGCCTCGGGCTTCAACGCGGGGAAGACGGTCGTCTTGGGCGCGGGGTCGGGGAGTTCGGCAGCCATGATGGCAGGTCGTGTCGTTCACACAGCTGATCTGGGCTTGAATGTTGCAAGGAAGGTGAGGGCAGTGATATAGGAGTGACGGACGGTTGGACGGTCCGAGCGGTCGACGTGGGGCCCCAGGGTGAAGCAGTCGGTGGAAGCTAAATCGCGGGGTCGAAACGACCAAAGGCAGAGAGTCGAGTCGCGCCACGCACCAATGCCTCGCAGGAAAGATCAAGAAGAGAGAAGTGCTATGAGGGTCATTCCGACGGCGAAGCCATGAGAGGGTCCAGTGGTCTGAGGAGGGTCAGGCCGAGATGGGCGGCTGACGATGGTTGCAGCAGAGGAGCCCTGTCCGGTGCGGCCGGGAGCTGTGGTGGATCGCTGTAGGCATCAACGTTTGGGATCAGCCCCAGCGATCACGTTCCACCGCCTCGGCACCTGATGGCGGTGCCCCACCACACAGGGTCGCATCCACATCACGTGAAACCCCTTGCTGTCGAGTTGTGAATGTTAATAGTGGCCTTTTCTTGTGTATCTCAGGGTTATAATGTATTTGGGATTTTGTTGTCGGGTGTAATGTGACGCAACCTTCTAGTAAGGTCCATCATTTGTTCCCCATATTGATCCCTTGGCAGTCATTATCATCAACATCGGAATCCCTTGCCCCGTTCATCAAATCAGTTATGACTGATCTTCACGAGCTGTCGGTGTGCGAGCCGAGGATGTGGTGGAGTTGTATGCTCGGTCTACCCGCTGCTTGGCTTATTCTGCTCAGTGTCGTGCTTGGACTCGGTGCGATTCTCGCACACCATGGCCTTGGAAACGTCGTGCTTGGCGGCCCCACCAGTCGTGAGTTGGAGGCAGTTGCAGCACTTCCACGACAGCGTGACAACGTCCAAGGGCGTGCAGTTGTGGCACATGGCGTGGTTGCACAGGACTTTGTGGCATGTCTTGCCGTTGCAAAGGCTGCGGTTGTTCATTTTCTTTTCTGGGGGGTTTTAACCCTACTTTCTGGGGGTTTTCGAGTTGAGTGTGATCTGACTTGTTTGATTATGTCTGGTTGACCGGAGTATGATCGAAACTTAGAGATCACCACCCATTTTTAAAGAGGAGTAAAAGATGTGCCAATTCACCGCAACTCCTAGATTCACCATGCTTGAGACACTGTATCAAGAGTGACTATCTAGCTTCAGGTTGGCATTGGCTTAAGCTTGAGCATGCATTTACACTGCAGAGAGCCCCTAGCAGTCCTCGTAAAACCAACCACGACCTACCTTATACTTGGTAAATGAATAGGAAGAACCACCTACTTCATTCACTGCTAGGCACGCAATCGTTGCTCGATCCCGATATTCCATCCGTCAATCAGTCAATCAGTCAACATGAATGAGCAGCACCTGGCCCGTGCGCAGACGTCATACCCTCCAAGGCAGCAGCACACTGCCCCTCTCCTGCCCCTCCTCTGCCCCTCCTCTGCCCCTACCCCTCCACCCCTCCACCCTCCCTCACTGCCGTCAACCCAACTCTATCCGGCTACCGTACCACCGGACATACCCCCCGTGTCTCGCCAAGTCTCCCAACATCTCACTCCTCAGATCCTCTCGAGAGATCACTCTCATCATGTCGTCGCGCGGGGTTCCCGAGGTTCTCATGAAGAAGGTCGACGAGTACGTTGACTCGCTCGCTCCCCAGATCGAACCCCGCATCACGGCCGAGCTCGAGACATTCCAGCAAAAGACCATCGACAGCCTCGAGACCCAAGTCGTCGACGCCTTCCGCTCCCTCTTCAACACGGACAAAAACAGCTCCGGTGACGCCTCGAGGGGGTTCAGCCTCAACAACTCGGCGCCCGATGCCTACGGCGGCCAGTCGCTGCCCTTTGCCGATGAGATTGCCAGCCTGACGCGTGGGTTTAGCAAGATTACCGATGAGGCGAGCGATGATCTCCGTGACATTTTCAACCTTACCGAAGGCGGCGGCGGCGGCGGCGGCGGCGACACCCGTTCGCGTGGTGGCCCCGGCGGCAACAGCTCCTCGTCTGGCGCCAGGGGCTTCCTCTCCGCAGCCTTTGACATAGTCCAGGACCAGCTCGACAACAACAACAAAGGCTCCTCCGGTGGCCAGGGATTCAAGCTTGACGGCCTCCTCGGCGTCCTCAGCGACACGGTCAAGGACGCCTCGCGCAACCCGGAAGAGAAGGCCCGCCTCATCAGCCCCGAGATCAAGGAGAAGGTCGGCCTCAAGCTGCGGGAGCAGCACGCGCCCATCGCCGCCCAGTTCACGCGCCTCGCGCTCGAGCACATCAAGACCTGGCTGCGCGGCAACACGAGCACGCGCGACCTCGGCGACGGCGTCAAGGGCGAGATTGAAGACCAAGTCAAGGATCTCGTCAAGGGCCTCGGCGGCCTGTTTGGCAGCAAGAAGCCGTCCCACGAAGGCAGCGGTGGCGGCGCCGCGCGGGGGTTCGGCGACCAGACGCGCGACGCCGGCGACGCCGACGGGTCCGGCAGCGGCTTCTCCAAGGTCATCAGCGACAAGCTGAGCACCGGCCTCGCCAAGGTGCACCGCAACGTGCGTCTCGAGTTCCGCAAGATCCTCGGCGCCATCGAGAAGCAGCTGTTCGAGCTGCTGCCCGACGCCTTCCAGCGCCCGCTCGAGAAGATCCTCGGCGGCAACCCCTTTGATGCGCAGCTCGACCGCGACGCCGGCGCCGGCGGCGCTGGCGGCCAGCAGCGGGACCGCGGCTTCGGCGACGACATCAAGACGAAACTGCTCGACAAGATCCGCGGCCTCGTGCGCAAGGTCCAGGAGACTTGCGCGAGAGCATCCTGGGATCGTCAACGGCGGCCACCGCAAGTCGAGAAGGAGAGCTGGGTCTTTGTGCAGCAATGGTCGAGCAAAAGGTGCAGAAGTACCTGCCCAAGGTCAAGATCTCCGTGCCGGACGACATTGGCGACGAGGGCGTCAGCGTCGGTGCTCCGGCGTCGGGAACCCAGCATGTCGGCGGTGTTCAGCCCGGCCAGTCTGCGCCGGGTGGCTACGTGCCGCCGCCGCCGCCGCCGGTGCAGAGCCATGACGGTGCAGGGCAGACGCATGGCCAGCAGGGGTACAACCCGCCATCTCAGCACAATCCGCCATCGCAGTACAACCCGCCATCGCAGTACAACCCGCCGTCGCAGTACCAGCCGGGAAACTCTGCACCGAGCGGGTATGCCGAGCTTGACGGAGGAAGCCAACCGCACAGCCAGTCGAGTTACAAGCCGCCTTCGCCATATCAGCCTGGTAACTCCGGTCACGGAGGCTACGCTCCGCCACCACAGGAATTGGATGGCGGAGGGTCGACGTACGGCCAGCAGGGGCACAACTCCTCCTCGCAGTATCGGCCGCCGCAGGATGACCGGCCCGGCCAACACCAGGACCAAGGCTACCGCCCGCAGCAGCACGATTACCGACCGCAGCAGGATCAGGAATACCGCCCGCAGCAGCAGTACCAGGCGTATCGACCGCAGGAGCAGCCTCACGGCGAGAATCGCCCCAACGACTACCCGCCCCCACCCTCGCAGTATCCGTCTGGTCAGTCCCAGGGCTACCATGGTGCCCAGGACTACCAGCAGAACCAAGACTACCGCCAAGATCAAGGGGGCCGTCAGGAGCAGGGTTACAGGCGCGAGGGTGACTATCGACGAAATGATGATTACAGACGCGATGATGACTATAGGCGGGACGACGGCCGGCCGCAGGGCCAGGGGTACCAGCAAGATGGACGGTACGACCAGAACCCTCGGTATTGATGGAGGGCATTTGTTCTGAATCTGTAAATTGCATCTGAAGCATGTGGATCATAGAGGAATTTGGCAAAAATCTCAGTACAGAACCTGCAAGATGAACCAATTCGCACCAGCATAGTGGTATGAACCCGAGTGTCGAGATATCAGTTTTAGCATACAATACGTCTCACGAACACTAGACTTGATCAACATGGAAAGCTAAAGCTTGAAAATCCAGCCTCAGCAAGAAGACATGGTCTTGAGGATAATCTACTCGGAGCTGTGTCCTCCCATCTGCTGCTCATTGCATCGTCGCCATGAAGTTCGAGGCATGGCCGACGAGGGCGGCTATTTGCCATCATGCAATTGGCCGCAAATGGCCTTTGCCCACCCCCACTCACTATGCTACATGTTTCCCCCTCGTGTACCTTCTCTTTCAACGACCCCTTCTTCTCATTCACTTTCATGAGCGCGGCCTTGTCCCGATAGCTGCCCAATACATGACGAATTGCAGCCATCCAAAATGAGCGTCGCAAACGAGACTCCTATTACAGAAGCGGTCGCCAACGACAAGATAGAAAGTGAAAAAGTCGAGGCCGCTCAGAGCGAGGCAGTCCATGCTACTACTTCTCTCGACCGTACCCCCACAGCAACAGCCCGGTTGCACAACGGCACCAGCGCGGCATCAATCAGCAGCGCCGGTGACGGCGATGCTTTGGATCTTCTCCAGGAGCATCTCCCCGGCATCAGATACCACGAAGGACGGGAAAGCACGATCGAGGATGTGCGAGACGTGATCACACTGCTCAACGAAGCCGCGATACCGGCGTGCGTCATCGGCGCCAACGCTCTCCGATATTTCGGAGCCGGACGAGTCACGGCGGTAAGCGTTCGACCCATACACCTCTCCACGTCCGATGGGTTGACCAGCGCGCCGCCAGGAGTGGGACATTTGCGTCCCGGACGAGAGCCTCGATGACGCGGCGGGCATCTTCTCGGCACACGAGGCCTACAAGCGCGCCCGGCCGCCGCCCATGGTGCCGTACTCGCTCCGCCACCTCCACCCCGCCTTTCAGCTGCGGGCCGCCGAGCTGTTCTTCATCCTGACGCCGTCGTCGCGCTGCTGCGTCGACCCCAGACCCGAGCACTGCGAACGCAGCAACAAGGGCATTCCCTACCCGCAGATGGCGCAGTTCGCGCGCTCACTCTTGATCATGCAGGCTGGCGCCGATCTAGAGGACTTTGTCGACGGCATGGACTTGGACGTGCAGTGGGCTGAGGCCAATATGGACTTTGCCGATCTGCAGCAACAGGCGCGTGCCTTCTGTCGCGCGCAGAATCCTGTTCTGGAAGAGAAGGGCCTGGGACAGTTCAACGAAACCTTGGATCGCCGGGGACTTTGGGAGAGCATTGTTCGTACCAAGGAGAAGCGCATCGACGACACCAAGGAGGGGCGGTACAAAACCCGTTGGCGTCGCATCAAGAACGATATGGATCCACGCACTCGCGACAGGGAGATGTAGCAGGGATGAGGGAGAATTTCTAAGCGCCAACGCCTGATGCTTGCCAGTCGACCAGACAGTACAACCAGACAATGGAGTTGGATCCCGCTGGTTGGATTGATGTCATGTTGGAGTGGCAGTTGGTGGTCTGATTGAACCACTCGGCAAGTCGTGCCAGGTCATGGCTAGGCGCCTGCTACCGCCAACACTGGCGCTTTGGCTCATGTAATGATTGGCCTGGTAGATGTTGTTGGCCTGATGGTGAGCCAACACGTCGCGCAGATGATCTTTCACTGTGTGAAAGGATTTAGCTTGTCTCAGGCATTTTTCAAAAGTTGAAAAATACAAATGGCGAAGCTGCTATGTGCTCTGGTGAGACGGCATGTTGGACCGAACGACCCCATCATGAAGCCACACGACACCACACGGCCAGCGGCCGGAATATGATCATCGCTTGGTGCGACAGAAGCATAAGAGCACGCTCGTCCCCTTGCTACTCTCGAATCGTCCACGTTGAGGCGGAGATGCCTGGACATCATTCAACGGGCACTCACAGCTCAAAGATCACCTAGAACCTACCTCCGGTTTCCCAATATGCCTAATTATACCGAGGACGACCTTGAACATCTCGAAGAGTCGGCAGAGATGGCGAGGCCGGGCCACCAAGCGCAGGCGCTGGCCTTGGTCGCTGGCGTTTTAGAGCGCAACGCTATTGCCTATGGGGTAATGGGTGGCATGAATTTTTACCTCCGCGGTTCAGGCCGCACAACAGGCGATGTCGATATTGCCGTAGACAACCCACCACGTATGGAGGCCCTGTTGAGCATTTTCAACAGCCATAGAAGGTTGGTTCTATGATTCATGTCCCGACAGCATCCACCCTCCCTTACAACCCTCCCCCTCCCTCTCGTGGAACGTTGAGGGTATACCCCCGTGATGACGATCAACAGCACGAGGCTTACCTTCAAGGTGGATCTCGGCATGCTCATGGACGCCATCCGCGAGTCCATGCCAGCGGTCTGCGCCAAGATTGGCGATGAGATGGACGGAGACTCAAGCGAGTCGCGGCCGACGACGAGCGGAGCATCAGATGAAAGAGATACCTGTTGCTGATGGAAAGCAGTGTATACCGGCCCACCAACAGGATGCAATGGGTATCTGGAGTGGCGCGGATCGTTGTCGATATTCGAGGCCAGCTTGTACAGCTTGATCTGAAGCCCAAGGGTTCAGAAGGCCATCTGATCCCCCGCGACATTGCAAGCTCTGTCGAGAGAATGTCCTTCACGGTGACTCAGATCTCGTTTCAGTGCGATATGCTGGCGATTGGCCCCCTGGTAGCGGCCAAACTCAAATCGCACTACAACCGCGAGACGCGAGCTGATTATCAGGACTTGGTCTTCATTGTCAGTTCCTCAAGATACGCTCCCCAGGTCAGGCAAGCTTCGGGCAGTTATAGGTCGGAATGGACGGACTTCTTCCTGGAGACGGCACTTCAGAACGATGCACATTTGGAACAATCCATTCGGTGGGCCTTTAACATGCCCCGCTCTCGCTCTAACTCTGGTCGGTGAGGCGTCTACTTCAGAATTGGTGGTTGGATATTCCAAGGTGTGGAAGACTTGGAGTCATTTGGGTTGTCCTGGAAATTCTCTACGCTGGGCTAAGGTGTGGGCCCGGTGTATGGAGAGTTAGGTATGTATGCAGCTCGTACTTGTCTTTTCGAATCCCAAGTACGTTTCCATCACTGTGTGATCGGGTACAAAGACTGTAGTCTTGGCTGAAACCAGAAAGGAGTGTGGCCAACTGTCAGAGGAGTCTCACGACAAGCGAAGATGCCATGTTCTTGGCAAGACGGAATTCGATTCTGGAGAAACATGATATTCTGCCTGCCAGCCCTTGCCGCCCAGTTCTGGTACCGAAAAGTGTAGTCGAGCTGTGAGGCAACGACTGTTGATCTCTTCGGGTCTCTGGACAGTTAGAAAAAGCGCTATCCTCTTGATCGTGTGGCTCGCTAAATTTCCCACGGCTCATTTCCTCGTCATCCTCAGTCCTTCTTCGGTCACCCTACAATCAAATTACAGGCTGTCTCCCGCCGGCCTTTCGCTCCCCTAGGTCTACAGGTCCAGGCATCCCTGTAGATCCCATCTTCCTTTCGTCAATGCTTAATATGAGATACCCACCGATGAATTCAAGAACGCTGAAGACATGTTGGGAATATAGTTCACGGGCGTTGTGCTTCCGTGTTGGTGCCAAGATTACCTTGAAATCGATCTTCCCCATCGACATATAACACACAAACGCCACCCTGCGGAGAATGCTTGTCTCGAATTGTTGCATTGTAAGAAATTAACGAGACGTCTTGTCTCTATGTCTAGGTAGTTCGCTGAAAACGTTGAAATGGAAAGAGCCTCCAACACCAAATTTTGAAATAATCAGACATCATACCCTCCCCGCAACAGCCTTATCGGACACTTCGATTCCATGCGCCATGGACTCATAGCTGCTCATCGAACCTCCACCGCCTCGGCTGAACGAGGGCTCGTCGTGCCCCCCGCTGGCGCTTGTTGTTCTTTGTATGTACGAGCTGGTCGGCGACTGGTCGATCAGGGTATCCGTATCGTTGTGGCTAAAGGGCTTGTCGCCCGGCCCCGGCTTCTTCATTGTGTGCATTTCAACTGTGGTTGTGACGGTAGCCCACGGCCTGTTCTTGCCGTCCTTGGGTTCATCCAGAGGAGGAGGGTGCTGGGACTTGAGGGTCGTGTCCGCGCCGCGGGTGCCGTGCGTGCCTTGAGAGCGCGAGAAGGCTTCATCCGAGGCCGGGTTGTTATCCTGCTTGCGGGCGATCTTGGCGATGAGGTCGGCCATGGACATTTCGATCTTGAGCTTGACGATGTAGGCGAGAGGGTGGAACTGCATGTACCTGTGGGGGAAATCATCGTCAGCAGCTGAACTTGTGTGTTAATGCGCAACGGCTTCAAGCAACTTACACAAAGGTGTTGTTCAGGCTCATCATGGCGATGATGAGGACATCCATGCTCAGAGAGAAGATGATAATGAACATGTTGAACCTGACCAAGTTCGAGTACTTGCGGAGACCCAACTGAACAAGATTTTGTTGCACGATGCGAACGAAGTAGAAATTGAGACAGGCATCAACCAGCAGGTAGATAACCTTCTCGCAGCGATCCCAGACAAGGTTCACATGGATATATGTTTCGGAGATCTGCAACCTTGCCGGGACCCAGATGCAGTAAACGGAAATATTGATCGCCGTAATGAGAAAGGCAACGCCGTACTTGAGGCGCCAGACATGGGTCTTGTCGTGAAGTAGAATGGCGCATCTGTTGATAATGATCTGAAGCAGGAACTGAACTTGTAAAGCCCATAAAGTCACTATAGCTGCTGTTAGTTCTGAAGAAAAGAATCAAGTGCAGGAAGTGGGCCTGAACTGACAGATGCAGAAGTAAAATGCAAAGCTAGGGGGGATGAGCCCCAAGAGGTACATGAAGCAGATAATACCAAAGCCAAGACAAACCAGGATTTCTCCCCAGATCATCCAGACGTAGGCATTTCTGAAGATGGACCTCCGTCGACGCTTGTAGATGGCCCTTGTTTGCTGAATGGCCGACCATGTCGTCAACCAGCCGATACCGAGTGTAAAGCCCCAGGCCAGCGAGGCAATGATCATATCATACTCTGTCACCTCCTCAAGGACAAAGCGGTCGGGTAGAAGCGTCAGCATTTTAGCGGCTGCAAAGAAACCAACGGCCTTGGAACCGGTTAACTTCGAAGGTGCGAGAGCAACCGTCCGTGTTCTCAAGCGCAGGTGCACAACAGCGTTAAATGTAATGGGTTCATCCAAATGGACAACCCCTCATGTCTCCTCTCATACATTAGGAGGCGTCTTCGAGAGGAGGAAAAAGGGGCCGTAATCTGCATTAGTGCCTGCAAGCGTGTTCGGTGCCTGCCAAGAACAGTTCTAGCAGTGGTCACTCTACGGCTTGATAGCGACGCTTGTGCGTGTGGTTTGGTGTCGCGGCACGTTTGGCGTCCGTCTGAAGGTGCGCCAGCAGGACGACGTTCCGAGTCAGGGCACAACCACGTTTGATCGGCTGCGGCTGGTCAACGGCCCTTGAACCTGGACGGGGAAACGGGGCGGTGCGGCGATCGATTTTCTTTGCAGACCGCGCCAAGAACGGGGTATCCTTGCTATGTCATGGTGAAGAGCTTGGAGCTGAGACGCCGGCTGGGCCTCTAGTCTCTCGGCGCCTGCTCGCCAAATAATGCCTGCCTCATGATGACTCGCTGCAACTCGCTTTAGGATGAACCAAGCCCTCCGAACAGGCTTCAATACTCTGTGGTCATTCCGTAGGTCTAGCCCTGGCCTATGGAGGATAGCACAGAATCCAGATAGACCAAGACATGAGCCTGCATCATGGCAGGTGGCGGGCAACTTCGGGGTTGGCTGTGTTCCGATGGGAGCGCCAACTCTATGTTCTCTCATCTGTTGTTTTCTGATACACCAGACTGAGCTTGCATTCGAGTAATCTAAGGCCCTCCCTCCCCCTCCACCACTCAGCGGCCGTGTCACTTGGAGGCGGCAGCTCGGTGGGTTCTCCAACTTCCGGGTGTCCGCTCTCAAACGTTTTCGCAGAACGACTTCCGTCGTAGAACGGACGCTTGTGAATTACCGAGGTGGGTGTTCGTGCGAGGAGCGTTGGGCACAGACTGGACGTTTAAGGGTCCTCCGGCCCAACAATGGAGCTTGCACACGCTTGAGGTTATTCCAGGAAACTGGAACACGGAGAACGCTTGAAAGGCAACCAAGCACGCGCGGACGTTTGCTGAAGGATTGGGAAGCGCTTGTTTTCCGCAACTAGTAGTGCCCATCTCGCAGTCTAGCATCTTACTATCGAGGTAGTGGGCGGCCTAGAAGGCAGCTAGGAAACCCTGGTGGGATTTGTAGATCAGGCCAAGTTTTTCTCCCCTTTACGAGCCGCAGATCGCGCTAGGGTCGCCCAAACGCACGGTCCGGAAATCAGTCTGGGACGTGATCAGTGTCAATGTCGACATTTCTTCGCCAATGCCTCCATGTCAACGCATGGATATCCTAGGAGCAGTTAAGACACCCTGTACACTGGGCTGCGGAGGACCTGGTGGACGGGTAGCGAGGGCGCTCGGTGAGGAGACCTTCAGGCACCGACCCGAGAGACACCTCTGTTACTACTTTCGATGATCTGGATGCCTAAGAGGCTCTATGTGTGTGCCCTTGTTCCTGTGGCGCAGATAGTGCTATGATCGGCTCACTGGTGGCCGGGTGGTTGCCGGCCAGAGGTGAGCGCCACAGAAATTCAACCGTTCGGTTGATCAGGCTCGGTGCTACAGCTGTGAACTGGGTGAGAATTTGAACCTGTGTTTCCACCACCACGGAGAGCTTCGCGTCCGTAGACGCTACTCTTTCTGGAAAGCCTCACCCCAAACTATGTAGCCTCCTGAAGACAAGATTTGCCAGCGCAAAGTCACAGCGCATTTGGCCCCTGTACGCGTGGCGGCCCTTTTATCCCCACAATAGCGTTGACTCGCGTGGTTCATCTGGGTCCAGGTCTAGGTCCCAACTATCTGGTATGGCGGATGTTTACTGCTCCTGGTCTTCGCTTTCATTCTCCAATGAAAGGCCAACTTTGCCCTCCTTTCTCCACGTTGGAGGGAATTGGTGCTAGAAACAGTACCTAATAGCTATTGAGCCAGAAGTTCCGGCAGATCTGGCTTGGTCTCCCAAGAGAGTGACACACTTATGCTGACGCCAATGGCTTGCCGGAGGCTAGAGGAAGCCAAAATACGCACAGTCATGAGGAATTTCGTATGTGCTACATGGAAAGTTCCGAATACTCCTACAAAGCCGAGTCTATGAGGTGCGACACTTCCCGTTTGCCCCTGAGAACTCTTCAAACAAACAGCAAAGGTGGATGAATCTCGAAGGGCCATTTTCACGTGGGCTTTGGACCCGTTCCGTCGGGTGTGAAGCGGGGACAAGTGGCCAGAGACGGGTCCGAGCTAGATTCATTTGGCAACCATCCGCGGTCCTCCCACACACCAGTAAGTCGCAAATGAGATCTAGCCGTCCTACGGAGTCTCGACTTTAGTTACTACGGAGACTGCCGGCGCTTGTGTTCTCGCCACAACTGTGGCGGATGATTGTCCCTATTCAGGCTCTCCGTTCGGGCACGAATGCCAAGAATGGTCCTCATGGGTGAGAATATACCCACATGAAGAAGCTTACAGTATGGGAATCTCACAATTTCGATTTTGTGGGAATCCACTCAACTCTTCGCGGAGACAACATCATATCACGTTTCACAGCAATTTTAATGGATCGAGATGGGGAGATTCGGAGGTTATTTTCTGCGTACTGCTGACAATCTGGGGTGCGCGATGACTGGCAGCTGACGACAAAAGAAAGGAAGATTCTGCACAGCCAATAATGATTACTCGTCCTGTCCAGGGGCATTTTTAGCCTCGAGGTCACCCAGGGTCCACAAGCTGATCGCAGCTGGGTTGTAGATCGGTTCCCGCCCGACCTCAGGCTCATCGCTCTAAGCATGATGGCCTGAAAGACTCGTTGACGGTCCAGCCGCCTATTCAGACCGAGTAGTCCCCGCTAGCTCAGGAGCATGGCCGCTCTCACAATCGCGCTTCCAGGGTTGATCGCCTTCGAGCATGTTTTCCACCTCTGCCAGCTTGTCTTGAGGAATCTCTGCCATGTGACGGAATTCGTTCACCATGAGTTGGGTACCTCGGATAAAGTAAAACCATCGGTCAATGAACTTGCCGGGCCCTACGAAGTCGAGGTCGATCTGGTCAATTGGCTTGGGAAAATAGTGCTCGAAGATCCTGTTCCACTTGGTTAGCATGACGGTCCACCAGTGGTTAAGGGTGACAATGTCGCTCAGGTTCCTAAATTGGAGTTCGATCAAGCTCGGCAGTTCACCTTCACCCTTGCCGGTGCCACCATCTTTGGCGAATGCCTTTAGAAAATGCAGGGGCGAATTTCCGAGAACAGAGCAACGCGCAATCTCCATCCTGATCTCCTCTTGGTCGCCTTCAAGCCAAAAAGGAGGATCACGGGTCTTGAGCAGCTTGAACATCTCATCGTTGTGTTTCATCTGCGCTTGGCCGACCTTGTGAATGATGTCCCAAACCATTTCATTGAGGTCCATGAGCGCCTTGGCGCGGTCACCGGCCTTGAGATCTTTCTGGATATCGAGGTCCGTGTGAAGATCATCGCCAAAGCCAGGGTGCAGACCCAGCAGATTAAGTGCTTCAAGCCCAGTGAGCAGCGTTGGGGAGGGCGGCCCTGATGTTCCAGACATCTCGGGCGAGTTGGGAATCTGCTCAATCTCTTGGTTCATTGTTGCTTTGTTGGACGTGTTGCTGCTCATTTGCATTTGTTGCTGATGATTTAGAATTTGCTTGATGGTCCTTGCCGCGGTCCTTATACGCTATGGAACGCTTGTCCCAGGCTGGTAGATCTGTTGCAAAGTACCTGTTCATGCCGCATGTCTAGAGATGGGGACCTTGTGATTGCCAAATTCACGGACTGGCGCATTGGATGTTTCGCACAATGTGCATTTGGCTGTTGTTAGGAACTTGTAATAATCACATCATCCACTGAAACGCCAGAGCACGAGGTTCTCCAAGGCTGAGACAGGATTTCAAAGCCAATGTGGTTATTATCCGGGTTCAATCCTCCAGGGGCCTCGGCTTCGTGACAAAAGAAATAGATTTTGGACATGGCAGTTGTTGTAGTGGTTGTTTTGCGTTCACCTGGATTAACAGCCACTCAGCTTTGCGTCACTCAGCAGAAACATCATACTTTACTCATTGTAAACCACGGCGTCTCCTACAACTTGAAAATTTGGACAGGAATGAAACGTCTCGATGTACCAATGATAGGTCTATTGTGGTGTCATTCATCATTCAATTCTATTTCTATAAGACTGTCTTTGTTCACAAGGCTTCGCCCTCGACGGCCTCTACGGCAACCCGAAGAACCTGGCAAATGTGACGCAGCTGTTGCTTTGTCACAATGAAAGGAGGCGCGATTAAAATATGATCCCCCTTTGTTCCATCCACGGTACCGCCACCAGGGTAGAGAGCCACTCCGGCCTGGTAGGCAACCTGTTGTACCCGGGCACCGAATCCCATCTTAGGATCAAAGGTCTCTTTCGAGGTCCAATCTTGGACAAACTCGACTGCCCAGAACAGACCCCGCCCCCGAATGTTGCCGACGCTCCGACAATCTCTCAGCTCGGAGCGCAACAGATCCTCTAGCACCCGACCCATCTTGGCACATCGGTCAACCAGATTGTCACGCTGCACAATCTTTTGCACTGCCAATGCTGTCGCACATGAGATGGGATGTGCTTGGTATGTGTGTCCATTGTTGAAAGCATTAGTGCCGCTCCTCAGCACATCAACAACTTTGCTGTGGACCAAGACGCCTGCGATGGCTGCGTATCCACCTCCGAGGCCTTTTGCGACAGTCACAATATCTGGAACAATGCCTTCCTGCTCGAACGCGAAGAAGGTCCCCGTACGACCAACACCGCACATGATCTCATCCAGAATTAGGAGGATGCCGTACTTGTCGCACAGAGAGCGCACGCCTTTAAAGTAACCTGTTGGTGGGGTGACACAACCGGAGGTGGCGCCCATTATGGTCTCCGCAACGAAAGCGACAAC